ACCACCCCAACTCGAGATATTAACAACATTCATAGCTCACACGCAAGAGTTTTTAACCTCCCCACCGACTCGGGAAACAACAACTGTCACATCGACCAGAAAGTCTAGACAAGCCACCTAGACCCGACTAACTACAACATTCAGTCTACGCTCGACTGATAACAACATTCAACCCGCATTCGACGAACTACAACATTCACTTGGAGAACATCGTGGTGACAGGCGAAGACTGGAAGTTTTCTCGGTTCTATTCCCGTAGACCTTACCTGAATTTCAAGGAAGAATTATTTTACTTCATAGGTGTATCTTTTGGAGGTGGTAATTTTGTTAGTACTACTGCAGGTTTCAACCGCCTCACTCATTTGTTATTGAAGTTCTTGATCGCGTTGCAGTTGTTGATGTAATAAGGTTACTTTTGGTCTTCTGGTATGGAAGCGTCGATGATAATTGTCATATCTTTTTCATCAGTGTCTTGCGTTAGCGTCGTGAGTTCCAGATGGGGCTGTCAGCCGGTGTTCTGTTTCCATACTTCCAAATCAACGTTGTTAAACATTCACCTTTTTGATTAAGCACTTCCTTCTTGTGTTCCAGAATTGGTCTCTTGTGGGTTAAATAGAGGCCTTTGATTTGTGTGGCCCCAATAGTTTAAATGACAAAGCTGGTACTATGATCAGTGTTGCCTTTAAGTAGATTAAGAGCAACTTGATCTATAGCCTCCAAAGTGCCCTGTAAGCATTTAGGCTTTCATGTCTTTTCGCTACCTTTCATTACTTTTAAAACGCGCACAAAGACGCCGCCGCAGTTTAATCGTTTAGAACGACCATTTACTTTGTGTCTCTTTGGATTGTGTTGAATGTTGAATCGCAGCTGTGTACTAGTATTCCACACGAAGGCCTTCTTCGCTGGTCCAATGTACAGAAGAGCATAAAATGTCCTACAGAAAACCTTTAACTTTAAACGGTATTCAGTCATTAAAATTTGCACTATTTTTGAAACATATTTTGACGAGTGCAGCAAATAATATACACACTTAAAAAATCCCCAAAGATTGGATAGATTTAATCGGCAAAATAACATGAATAACAATGTGTACAACTACTCAGTGAAAGCCAATATTGGCCGTGCAGATTTGCTACCGAAAGTTTGGTTAACTAGACAAAGTGTTTTTTCCTGGAGAAGCGTTTCTCAAAATTTATCATTCGAAACCATTAATTTTCATGCACAGGTCGGGAAGAAAGAGCATAATGTCAACCACTTTCCAGGGGTCCACGAGGCCGGTTTCAACTTGTAATTTATCCTCACTGCATACCTATTACCACATCACGGTAAACTAAGTTATGGGAGGAGACCGCGACAACTGTGGCAACTAAGGTATGCAGCGGGAGTTAAGCGTAGCCGCGTCGACCGGCACCAGGGGAGGAGGGTGGGGCGACCGAAGCTTCCTTCACCGGAACGCGGGCAAAGTGACAACGATCGAGGCAAAAAGCAAAGAGATGGCAAAGCATCATACCTGCCCCGAAGACGCAGAGCACGGCGGAATCTGAAGGATATAGCTCAAATTCCGTGATTCGCTAATTATGTATGCAGTGAGAACAGTATAAGGTTGGAAGAGTGGGGAGATGGCTCAACATTACTCCCGTTCGTCTGATGCGGCGGCGTCTCTCGCGATCTTCGAGGAAGTCCTTCCTAGTGCTACTGGTTTGGTCACAGTGCCTGTGTCTCACCCCGACAATCTGCAACTCGTTTGTACCAATTGAACGATTGTCACTTTCATCTGTTATTGTTACCCCTAGTCCTCCTATCAGGATTGAAGGGGATTTCTGAGTAATGGGAGAGGTTGGATTAAAATTGTGTTCTGTAGCTTTTGTTGTGTGGTTTTGTATGCTTCGGGGTGCTTTTCGGGGTCAGTCGGGTAGCTTTGGCGTGGTGTCAAGGGTTGGAGTGGTCTCCTCCCATAACTTAGTTTACCCTGATGTGGTAATAGGTATGCAGTGAGGATAAATTACTGTGCAACCTGCTGTTGAGAACAACCTAGCAATCTCAAAGTAGTAGACAAACCCACCCGGAAACTATGAGGGGTTCACCGTCATGAAGCTTAGCTTCGGTGAGATACCCCCGAGGACGGTTATTCACAGCCGAGCCGACGAAAGGCCTGGGACTAATACCTCTACTGCGGTCAGAAGCCCGAAAGAAAAAAACCGGAGCTAAGGGACTGGTCAAAAAGTATGGAGGGGGGTGGAGCGGAGGCAGAGAGGGGGTGGGTCATGAGGTTTTGAGCCTTGTGCAAGGGGTGGGTCGTGCAATTTTCAGCTACACTCAGGGGGTGGGTCACCCTATTTTTTACAAACTACTAACGAGACAGTTGACTACACTTGTTA